AAGCCAGATACAGTGAACCATCTGCCTTCTTTGGGTCTGCACCAGAGCAAGTGAATCAAGCTTGGGGAAAAAAATAACATAACAGGTGTTTTGAAATGGGAGGTATGGGTGAAAATTTTGATACGGTCTTAACCATCAACATGATTGAAGACTCAGTAGGCAGAGACTTTCTCAGGTCAGATTTCTCTGAACAAAATAGATAGGGGGTTTCTGTGTCTGTAAGTTCACTTCATTAGCATAAGATAGGAAGTTATGAATAGGATGACTTTCGATTCACCTTCCCTGAATTATAAAATGTGAGGTTGGATGTAAGCCTACCATATGGATAAGGGATCAATTTAGCCCTTAAGTGTCTTTTGGAAGCTCCCGTGAAGGGCATTAGAAGTTCCGTGAGCATATTAGAAGGCAAACTTGAGGCCTACGTATGCATATTCAGCAGGCCTGTCTAGATCCTCAGCTCCAAGAAACGAAAATAGATGAAGATGTGCCTCCTAGGAACTAATCATGCTATTACTCAAATGGAAATAAAAGAGATGCATGGCTCAAATGGCAGAAACGCAGGAAGCTTCGCGACATTACAATTGACAGGCTGAGCATGAGATAGATGGCGCTTGACAGTTGAGGAACAGGAAGGTCCTACTGTGAAATGAGCTTGGTTCTGAGAAGGGCTTTTTAAGAGCTGTGCCCTTTTAAAGAACTGAGCCCCTTCTCTGCTTGATATATTGGAAACTGTACCTAGGAGTAGAGTCTGGCCAGGGGGGTTCACAGAAGCCATGTACCCTACAAGTAGCTTTAATCTTGGTTCTAACCCAGCGTTGGACCTGGAGGAGGATGTCATTCCTGTGTGATGACAATCAGAGAAAGCAGACCTACTTCCACAGTTTTTCTTTTGCTATCCAAATCTAGATCCTGGTAGGAAGAAACAGAAGTCACCTTTGCCCAAGTGTTTCTCTCTGAACTGACCTCCCCGATAGCCGTCTCCGCAGGTCCCTCATGTCGCTGCAGGGCTTACCACCCCCACCCTCGGCAGATACTCCTGACCTTCAGAGCACACCATGTTTCTGAATTATCCATTCTCCCTAACCCTTCAAATCTCTAGACCAAGATCTGGCTGCATCGCTTACTGTCTCTGTGACTTGGGGCAATTTAAATGACTCAACCCCCACACCTGTAAAATAAGGATGATACAGCCCTGATAGGGATGATGTGAAAATTCAATGAAAAAACGTGCATAGTATGCACAATACTCCTGACAGTCCACAGGTTCTCAATAACACACCAGCTTATTATTACTTTAGTTATTTAATTTACAAGGGCCTAACACTTTGTATTTTTTAAAAACTCTGCAAATGTAAGTGGTTATTAGGTATGAATTCACATTTTAAATGTTTAAAAGATACCCATCTCTGATCTCCAGCAAACCCTTAAGGGAACACTGTTTTTCTTAACACCCCCCAACACACAATGCATCTGATTACCTCCCCACACACACACATCCCACCTCACCCCCACCACGGCTTAGATAGGCTCAAATGTTAAACCTGCCTCTACATCCAGCCAAAAAACATGATTAGAAAGATACCATAAGCCTCAAAATAAATTACCATTTATAATTTTAAATGCTGAGCTTTTACTCAATCTTTTAAATAACCTAAATCACACCCTCTCTTTGATATATTAAAAAACAACAACCCACAACAAAAGGTGTGTTAACTGTTACTTCGAATCCTCAAACCTACCAATAATATTGATTCCGAGAAAAGGCCATCCTAAAAAGTATCACATTGGCCACTTTAGAAGTAGTAAATAATTACAGAGTGTAAAAATAATAGTGAAAACTACACCGAGGTTGGAAGTCTATTTCTACCCTTTGCTTTCATGCTCAAGAATCCTAAAACAAATTCTAAACTGTGAAATTCGAGTCTGTCCCCAGCCAGAGAAACAGACTTAATGCCCCATTTATCAGGTCTGCTCTCAGCCACCAATTGAAACGGTGACAGTCATTGGATTTTTTAAGGAAAAGACAGTGCTGCAGAAGAACATTCCAGAGGTCCTTCCATAAAAACCATCCTGTGCGCTCCATCTGCATGCACAAGCTGCTGGGGTATTTGCAGCCAGCTTGCCGGGCAGATTAATGCGCACAATTAGGAAGCAACCTCACAGGCATTCGATAAACTGCCTCCGTTATTACACTCAGGAGAGTCTCTCTGGATGTCAATAAAAGCCTAGTTTTCTGCCTGTTAGCTAAATAATTGACAACACTAAAAATAATCAGAAGCAAATGAACGAAGTCAGGAATGAGGTGTTAAGAAAGAGCACGTTACAATTCTCGTGGTGGTGCCCCGGGATGCCATCCCGAGCTTTCCCTCTAGCAACTTGGATTTACAGTCTGCTCAAGTCCGTGGTTCCCCTTCTCTACAGAAAACAACACTGTTCCTGGTCTGCTATTTGAACCACATATTTACAGCATGCTGAATCCGGCAAGGACATGAGGTATGGACTAGTTTGAAAGAATTACTTAGTTGTGTTTCTATTTTGTGTTTCTTGGTTTGACAGCTGCAGGAGAATCTAATTTTTTTTGGGGGGGGGATTGCAGAGAGGGAGATGCGGAATAATCTGTTTGGTCTGCTGAAATCTTCGTGCTATTAAAAATCTAAAAGCTCTCCTAGACAAAATTTCCCCCATAAACTGACCCTAAGAAGGTATGATAAAGGCCTATTATACAGAGAGTCCATCGTTTCTAAGAAGTCCTTTTCATATTTCTAGCTATATAATGGTTGTTCATCTCATGAGCTATTGGCCTTTTAATTTCAAAAGTAGTTCAAAATATGCTCTTTGAAAAACCTCACATATATGCTTCTTGTGTTTCTCAATAGGCTTTAAAAATCAATTTGAGATACTTCTCATTTTCAGCCAACTTCTCTCTTTCCTGGTTAACTGGGACTTTCACGATAAGCAGAAGAAAGACCAAGAGTAAAATGTGCATGTAATTGAATTCAGCTCCACTGATGGTGTGTGAGGTGGCTGAGGGTAAAACTTTTTTTTTTCTTCACAGAAAAAGGATGATTGATCTCTAGCATTTAGCAAAACAGAAACTCAAGAAGCTGGAAGGCCAGGAAAGAAAGGAGGCTGGGAACACAACCTCCCATGTCCTTTAAAACTCTAAGACTCTCTCATCCTTCACCTTACCACATTTAAAACTCTTAACTTATCACATTTAAAACTTACCACCTTTAAAAGAAAATGGCCTCATTCAACTTCCCAGTCCTGTACCTAAGACCCCTCACGGGTGAGCAGGTCCTTCCTCTCTTTTTCCAGTGTAAACTTAGGATGCCACAGGATAAATACATTTGTTCTTATTGTATCTCTAGGCTATAAATGCCCTCATGGCATCCCCTTATCTCCTTCAACTTCTCTGGTTGGCCTAGAAATAAAATAAAGTCTCAGCCTTCTCTACCCATGAATGGGGGAGGGCAATAATATATTAACAGCCTTAATCTATCGCTTCCCTCCTGCTATCTCTCTCTAAGACAGAGGATTTCTCCTGGCGTTTAACTTCCCACAAGCTCCCCGACCCTTCATGCCTGCCTCAGAAGAACAGTGGGGAAAGACAGGCTGTGGAGCCTCTGATGCCTATTTTAACGTAAAGAAGATAAGAAACTCATCAGCACTTCCACCCACCCCATTTACTCTCCCACCCATTTCTGGTCCGGGTGGCAGAGGCCAAGTACCAAACTTGCTCAGGGGCAAACTGAAGCATTGAGAAGCTTCTTTTCCAGTTCCTACATGAGCCTGAAAGCAAGGAGGAGCTGCTTACGAGAGAGGCAGCATAATGTCAGGGGGATGAGAAACCAGAGCACGCTGTACTTAGAGGAGGGACATGCTTTCAGGTGTCACATATGCTCACTCCAAAGTCAGAATAACCTTAAATTCTGCAAATGAGGTGCAACGATGGGAAGAGAAAAGGTGAGGCAGTCAAAGAGCACTCCATCTAAGAGCGGGAGTTTAGTGACTCCTTCTCGTGGACCAGAAATCTCTATTTAGTGTATACGAAACACAAGTTGTCTGATACCATGAACAAGGACCTCTGTAGGAACTTTCATGTCAAGTCCTTACAATATTCAGGCACTTTTATGCCATTTACGGAAGATATTTTATTTAATTCTTACAAATAGCTTATGGGGGAGATTGCCATCCCTATTTACAAACAAAAACTGAAGTTCAAACAGGTTTAGTAGTCTGTCCAAGGTCACATCTGGGAAATGGAGCTACGACTTTGAACTCAGATCTGCTTGGTTTTAACTCTACCACATTCGGAATTAACCTAGAGCTAGAAATATGGCCCTTTGGATTTGTCTATTCTTCTAAGCAGTGTACAGGTAACCTAGATACTTAGAGTTAGGACATGCGCTTATCTTTAAAGGCTGTATAACAGAGTAGAACAGAATATTATCTACATTATAAAGCACAGAGTAGTTGCCCTACATGTAACAGCTGCTGTTATTCACAAATCACACTGGAAAAAGTACCTTGGTATAAGACCACCAGTTGGGAGTTTTGCCAATAATTACTAAATGACTTCTCAGTTCTTGTCTACAAAAATACACATGTATAATAGTTGTCAGTCCATTAGATAAATCCCTAATTAGTTTAGGTTCTGCTTGGGTTCTTGTTTTCAAATACCCTCTTCCTATGTCAACATAATCAGAAGTACCCTGAATCACTGAAATATCAAACTCTCCCAGTTATTTGTAACAAGGAATTCCTCAAATTTAGCAGTATTATTTTGAATCAATTGACAACTAAAGAATACTTTGGTGAGTATAGATGTCTCTGATCTTAGAACCTTGCTTACATAATGACAGAGTTCAATTACATAATTAATATAACAGTCAACAATCCAATACCAGAAGTTTTGAAAAGTTACCATTACCTAGAATTTAAAAGCAGAATGAATAATACGCCTACAAAGGGACAAGGCTCTGAAAACATAAACTTACTATTGCTGATGCTCTCTAAATGCTTCTCTTCTGAGGTTTTCTTGAAGTCTTTTTTTCTCCTCGAGTTTATTGCTCTGAAATTGCAAATATCAAAATGTAATTTATTAGAGATGCTTAAACAGAATCATGATGTTAAATTACCCAAAGTCCAAAATCCTTAGGCTTAAGAGTCATCAATAGTCTGATATGGTACCTACCAGGGCTTCCAAGATGGTAGCCCCCTCACGGCCCGGGAGCTCTATACTGAAAGCCAAGTTCTTTGCATGGCCTGCCTCTTACAGCTCGATTGGTATAAACTCAGAATCAGTATTCCACATTTTTATTCCTTAGCCTAAAAAACAGCACCATTTGTACTTTAAGCAATGTTTTCAAAATGCTCTAAGGGAAACGTGAAATTTCCACACCAAATATGTTAAATTAAATGAAAATTATAATAAATAGTTAAATAGTTCATATGAAATTTGTGT